TCCTTCTCCTTTTCTTCCTCTCCTTCCTCTTCCTAATCTTCTCCTTCCTCCTTCTCCTTTTCCTTCTCCTCTTCCTCTCCTTCCTCTTTCTCCTCTCCCTTCTTCTTCTCCTCTGCTTCTTTCTTCTCCTTCTCCTCTTCCTAAGCCAATCCTTCCTCCTTCTCTTCCTCTCCTTCCTCCTCCTTTTCCATCTCCTCCTCTGCTTCCTCCTTCCTCCTCCTTGTTCAAACTCTCCTCCTCCTGCTCCTTCATCATCATCATCCCTCATCCTCTTCCTCCTCTCCTCCTTCCTCTTCCTTCTCCTCCTCCTCCTGATGTGTTTTCCTCCAAAAAGATTTTATTTATTTATTATGCCCACTTTCCCCTCTACTGCGAACAATATAAAGTGACAGGAAGTCCTCAATGTAACAACCGCAAACAGGATGGCCAAATATAAGTAAAATTTAAAACATAAATATGCCATAAAATATAAAATAGTAATGAAAATATTGACTCTATGAATAAAAATATAAAAAACCCATAATATTAAAATAATAATAATTCAGTTGACTGAGTTTCATGTTTAATGAATAAAAGTTTATAATAGTAATAATAACCATAAATAAAAGAGTGAAAAGAAAAGAAGTGCAACAGGAAAAAAGAAACCACAGAAATACCCCTCTTTTCTCTTGTTCTTTCAAGGGGGAAATTTTCTCTCTTTTTAAAAAAGGAAAACAAAACAAGAATAAAAGCTCAGGCTGCAACCTCTTTGTATTTGTCTCTGCACGAAAAAGAAGAAGAAAGAAAGAAAATAAAACACACCACACCTTGCAAAGGAATGTAAGCTTTGGAAAGGCATGCAGGAAGAAAAATCCTCCCGATTTTAAAAAAGAAAGCACCATTATCAACCCCTTAAATTGCCAATTCTTTGCCTACAGGTGTGGTTTATTTTTAATTGATTTATTTTTTTCCTTTCAAAAAGCGATTTCCTCTCCACTCAGGAGAAAAGCCCAAAGAGCTTTCAATTTTTTTTTATTTGTTTTTGCTCTCGTCACCGCATGATTTCCCTGCACAATCTCCTTGCGGTTCATAGTGCTTTGGCATTCAACAATCATGATGACAACCTCTAATTTGCCTTTTTTATTATTTTTTTTCCAACTGGACTCTTGGCCCAGCCCAGGAAGGGTGAGAGATCAGAAAAAAACAAAAAGCCAACCCACAATCGGCATTAAACTACCTTATAGACCCCAATGGAGCCCAGAATTTATGACGCTGAGCGAAACCTCTCTTGCCACATTTTTTTAAGCGAATCACTGCAGTTGTGAATTGAGTAACACGGTTGTTAAGTGAATCTCTCCACCCTTGACATTGCTGGTCAGAGGGTCCCAAAAAGGGGATCGCTGTGACCGTCATAAATGCGAATTGGTCGCCAAGCGTCTGGATGTAAATCACGTGAGCATGGAGGCAACGGTCATTAAGTGTGACAAACAGTCGCAAGTCCCTTTTTTCAGTGCCGTTGCAACTTTGGTCACTAAGGGAACCGTTGTAAGTTGAAGACTATTTGCAATTCATAGCACAGGTAGTCCTTGACTTACAACGGTTCCCTTAGTGACTGTTCAAAGTTACAACAGCACTGAAAAAAGGGACTTAGGAGTGTGGTTCACACTTATGACCGTTGTAGTATCTCCATGATCATTTGATTAAAATTCAGATACTTTGCAACTGATTCAACTTATGACCCGTTGCAACGTCCCGGAGTCACGCGATCCCGTTTTGTGACCTTTGGACAAGCAAAAATAACTCAATAATGCAGAAATCAGATTTGTTTGTTCCTTTATTTATTTATTTTAGAAAATTTATATTGCTGACAATTCGCACATGGCAACTCAGGGAGGTTTAGAGGCGTATGAAAACCTCATATATAAAGCAATAAAACTAATAAAAGAGAATCATTTAGTTTAGTTGACTTTATTGTCATTGTACCTCATACAATGAAATTAAGTACCATCTCCAGTGTACATTATGACTATGAAAATAAACACAAACACACATCCTTCACATGCTATATATTGAACTGATATTGCATTAATATTGCACTCTATAGCAGAATGCAAAAGAGCTACTGCCCTGGGATAGACGCTGTTTTTCAGCCTATTTGTCCTTGTTTTTATTATCCTGTACCGTCTGCCAGATGGTAATAGTTAAAAAAAAAAAGGGTTCCCAGGATGAGATGGATCTTTAAGGATGTTTTAAACTTTCTTAAGGCAGCGGGAGCTATAAAGCTCTTCCAAAGAGGGGAGAAGGCAAGCAATAATCCTCTGGGCAATGACCTTAACCCTCTGGAGCGCTTTCCTATCTGCCCCTGTGCAATTGGCAAACCCTACAGAGGCAAACCAATCACATAATAAATTAATAAAGTAATATAATCACTGCACCCTGGCGACAACAGTTTCACTTAACCACCGTGCGACTAACCGAACAGCTGCAACTATTCACTTAACAACCGAGGCAAGAAAGTTCATAAAATGGAGCAAAACCCACTCAACGAATTTCTCCCTTAGCGACAGAAATGTCGGGCCCAATTGTGGTCGTAAGTCGAGGACTCCCTGGGTTGCACTCTTAAGCACGTTCTTCTTTGCAGTACATTTCTGACAGGGGCAATTAATGGAAACCCGAGCAAATGGCGTGGAAGTGTGTTGTTTTCCTACAAAAGGGAAGGGTGTGTGAACGGATAAAACCCCGGCTAATGGGCATCCTCCAACACAATTAGTGCAATAAACACTAATGTTCGTTGTTACTGATTTCTTTTTGGGTTTTTTTTTTCCTTCTTCTTCCTTTTCTTCAATTATGCAAGAGCCAGCTTTTGAACGTTTTTTTTTTAAAATAAAAGGAGGTTTCTGGCAGCAGAATTAAAACAAAAACCTCAAATCTAAAATTAATATGTTCCTTGTGGTGGGGTCAAGGAAAAAAGGAGACCTCGATACCTAGTCTAATTAACACATTTTGCGGTTCTTGTCAATGCAGGAGGATGTGGCAGAATTGGGCCAGGATGCTAATAAAGCACTTTAATTGAAGAAATGTCCTTTTTCTTTTTTTCTTTTTCTTTTTGGCTTGTTTCTCCTCTGCAAATTGACAGGAAGTTGACGTTTTGGATATCAGCTACATCCGAGACACTCGGACTGGACGTTATGCTAAGCTACCTAAGGTAAATTAGGGTTTATAGGAGGAAATTTAAAAAAAAGGGGGGGTGCATGTTCCCCAAATCACTTTGATTTCCTAGGACATCATAGCACTAAATGTCAGGGCTCCGACAAATCCACTCCCATTCAAATCACATTTCTCAGAGTAAAAAAACAAGATTTATTAGGAGTGACCATGTTGGCGTTACGTGGGTGCAGCCGACACTGAGACACATCATTCATTTCCCCCTTGACCCTGGTCTTCATCCCACCCCCTGGATGTATATTCTCCAATGGGACACATCCATAGCCAAGAGTCCTCAATCATGCTCTCCAGTAATAATCTTGCGTGCCAACAGCTTCGGCTACCTAGCAATTATCTGAAGCATTTAAGGAATGCACTTCTTTCCTCCCACTCCCTTTCTGCTGGCAACTAAAAAGACCAAAGAAGTATTTTTTAGTTAACACTAAAATTTGAGGTGGGTTTTACTCTACAGGTATTCCTTGACTTACAACCATTCATTTAGTGAGCATTTCAAGCCACGACGGCAGTGTAAAAAGTGAATTGTACGTTTTTCACCCTTAGGACCGTCGCAGCCTCTCTGCTGGTCACGTGATCAAAATTTGGCCACTCGACAACTGTCTCATATATACGACGGTTTTGCATTACCCCGGGGGACATGTGATCCTTCTGACAAACAACGGGGAAGCCAAATTCACTTAACAACCAGGCAATTAACTTAAGCGTTAAAGGTTTCACTTAGCAGCCGTGGCAGAAAAAAACTTCATAGAACGGGAGCAAAATTCACTTAATGAATGTCTCCCTTAGCAACTGAAAACATTGGGCTCAATTGGGGTTGTAAGTCAAAAACTACCTACACACTGAGCAATTCCATGAAACTGTAGTAGTCTCCAAGCAGCCTCTGGTTCGGAGGGTACAAACTGGGTTGACTTTTTGCACAAAGCCACGATTGGTTTAGCTGTGTTTTTTTTTTTTAAACTGTGGTGTGTTAAGCCATGGCTGACAGGCTCGATCGACTCCACATTCAAAACTCTGATCCTTGGTTTTGATCCTTGGATCCGCAGTTTTCCTGAGAACAAACTGTGGTTCGTTGTGTACAAACGGTGGTTTGTTTTCAGAGTATAAATTGTGGTTTGTTGAGCCATGGCAGACTGGCCCGCTCCATTCTGCATGCAAAATTCTGATTTTGGGTATAATTGTTGTTGTTGTTGAAAGTCCATTGTTTTTGTTTCTCCGTTTTGGACTTTTTAATATGTAAGCTTCCTGGAGTTTGTGGAGTCAGCCAGTCTCTCCATTAATGAAATAAAAGAAGGAAATAAAATTAAAATAATTTGATGACCAGGGTAATAACTTGACCTGCTGGAAAGACCCAGTCATAACATCCTCTTATTGCATTAAGCTTGGATTTGTTTTAAAATATGTTTTTCTGAGCTCAATACAGTAACTTATTGAGTTATGGAGTTTGATAAACTCCCCATCCTTCAATTCTCAATATTCCACAATGGCTGTTGCTAAGAATTCTGGGAACTGAAGTCTTTTCAAAGGTATGGACTTCAGTTCCCAGAATTCCCGAGGCAGCATGGACATTGTTGAGAAATCTGGGAGCTGAAAGTTGCCATGTTTAGAGAGTAATCGGTTTAGGGAAAGTTCACACGCACAATTTCAGGTTGCAAATCCGTAATGAAAATGAAAATACTAGCTGGGGGGTTCTGGGAGTTGAAGTCCGTCCAAATTAAAGTATGCTGGATGGGGAATTTTGAGAGTTGAAGTCCACCCATCTCGAAGCATGCTGGATGGTGGATTCTGGGAGTTGAAGTCCATCCAACTTAAAGTATGCTGGATGGGGAATTTGGGGAGTTGAAGTCCACCCATCTCAAGGCATGCTGGCTGGGGGATTCTGGGACATGATGTCCACCCCTTAAAGCATGCTGGCTGGGGAATTCTGGGAGTGTCTTAAAGTTGCCAAGTTTGAGAACTTCTAACCGAAATCATGCTTCTTAATAGCCTCCATCCAGTTAAGATGGCTTCTCCCAGCTTTTCTATGTCTTCTCTTGTCTTTTGAAGGATCCCAAAATTCGGGAAACGCTGGGCTTTGGAAGTCCAGAACAACAACCCGAGGATAAACTTTTGACCGTGGTTCACGGACCTGACCTGGTGAATGTGAGTTTCCTCAACTTCATGGCAGTTGTCCAAGACAATACAGCAAAGGTAAGGAGGCCCTGAAGGTGAAACCTTGTGTGTGTGTGTGTGTGTGTGTGTGTGTGGTATTCAGTTTTGTTCGGGTATTTTCCCACGTCTTTATAGTTGTGCTTTTAAAGTTGCAGCGACGTTTCAGCAGAATCTCATCTGCCATCATCAGGCTTCTGTACTGTGTTCGTCTGTGAGTCAGACTTTTACAGTTGTTTCAGTTTTAAATTTGGGGCTAGCCTACTGCTGTGCCAGAATGGTTTTTTCTTCATCCTGATTGGTTGGGAGTCTTGGTCTGTGTTTATTGGTCTTGGAGTTTGCTGTGTTCTGCTTGTGTTTCTAATATCTTCTGTCTGTTTTGTGGCTTTTTTTGTGTGTCTTGATTGGCTGGCAACATTGTGTTCCTGTATTGGAGGCTTTTAGTGCAGCTTGGCTCCGAGTAAATGGACGTCTATCATTTATTAGGAATCTAGGTTTCATCTGGGTGCCTGGTTGGGGTGTGTTTGAGCTGGAGGTATCAGGGGGGATCTGTTTGTGCCCACGTGTTTGCCTGGCTTGTGGTGTGGAGATTTTTTTGTTTGTGAATGCAGGCTTCCAAATAATTGACAGTCTGGTGGAATCATCTCTTCTATTCATGCTTTCAGGTCTTTTTTCAATCTCTATGGCTTCTCTGATAATTCTGTGGCTGGGGTTTTCTATAGTGGCTAGGGTTTTGGTGCCATTGAAGTTGATGCTATGACCTGTGGCTTTCATGTGTTGGACTAGTGAGAACGTGTGTTCCAGCTTTTTGACTGCATTTTTGTGTTCATCCAGGCAGGTACTTATTCTTCTATTGGTCTGTCCAATGCATGTGGCCGGGCATAATGCACAGGGGACTTCATATATACCTTGGTTTTCCAGGTCAATTTTATCTTTGGGGTTTCTAAGGATGGCTGCTATTTTTCTGTCTGTTTTGAAGGCAGTCTTGATGTGATGCCTGTGTAGTATCTTACTGATTTTGTCTGTAGTACCTCTTATGTAGGGCAGGACAGCTGTTCCATAGGTCTGTTCATCTTCTAGGTCTCCATTATGTCTCAGTGTGTTTTTGTGGTTCAAGCCGGTGATTTTGCTTTTGTGGAAGCCGTTGGCTGTCAGTACTTTAGTCAGGGTGCATAGTTCAGTCTTTATGTGTGTCTTGTCTGCCAGGCGTTTGGTTCTGGCGATTAGTGTTTTGGCCACGGAGTTTATCTGTGCTGGGTGGTGGTGGGATTGGGCGTTGAGGTAGCGGTTGGTGTGTGTTTTCTTCTGATATATGGTGTGTCCTAGTGTGCCATCTGTTGTTTTTTTTGTAGATTAGTACATCTAGGAATGGTAGTTGTTTGTTTGTTTCCGTTTCCATGGTAAACTTGATTTTGGGGTGTGTGCTGTTTAGGTGTGTTAGGAAATTGTTTAGGTTTTCTTTTCCATGGGGCCAAATCACAAATGTGTCATCGATGTATCTTAACCATAGTTTGGGTTTGTGGATGGCATTAGCCAGGGCTCTGGATTCGGATTCTTCCATGAACAGGTTTGCAATGACGGGTGACAGTGGTGATCCCATAGGGGCTCCTTCAATTTGCTTGTATCTTTGTCCTTTGTATATGAAATATGTGTTGGTTAAGCAGTGTTCTGCTAGTTCCATGAGGTGTTTAGCTGGTTGGTATTTATTTTTGATGATTTCAAGAGTTTCCTTTATCGGGACTTGAGTGAATAGTGAAACCACGTCGAAACTTACAAGCAAATCTTCTTATTCCACGTATAGATCTTTGATCATTTCCAAGAAGTGGTATGAGTTTTGTACATGTGAAACTGCTGCTTCAGCATGGGGCTGTAGCTGATAAATATGAGATGGTTGTCAAGCATCTGGCTTTTGATCAGGTGACCATGGGGATGTTGCAACAGTCATAAGTGTGAAAAACGGTCATAAGTTCAGCTGTAGTCACTTCAATCGCTAAACGAACTGTTGTACAGTGAATAAAACAGTTTCCTGTTTGCTTATGAAAAATGACATGATTCACAGCTAGTTCCTAGAGTGGTGCGGTGGGCCTAGAGGTGGAGCTGTGGGTTCGATCCCAGGTAGCGGCAGATATTTCTCTCTCTCTGGACACAGGGGGAATATAACTGCTGAACAAAATTCCACATTGGTGACAGGAAGGGCATCCGGCCAGTAAACACTCAGCTCCATGGGGTTGTTAAATGATGATGATAGTTAGCTCCTCAAGGCAGAAATCAGTCTGAATCCTTTCTCCCTGAGAAACTAGCTTTTTTACATGCAGGGAATTGATTTCCTGTGGGACCCCAGGACCCCAGAATATGTTTTCCAGTCTTGATTTTCATGGCTGTATAATTGTTCAGATAGAGCTGCATTGCTTTCAGATTTCCTGTTCTGGCAATTGTCCCTTTTTAGTTCTGGATTACTAATTAAGCTAAATAAATTGCAGGGGATTTCTTGGGCAGAGCTGCAAGCAGCTAATGGCCCATGTTTTCATTTACACAAAATCACAATGGTAGCGACTATTTTGTGTTCTCTCACACTGTTCCGTCTGAAGTAATGTGTATGTTTTTGGAACGCATCTTAAAAACTTTTTAAAAACACTTTGGGAAACTTTTTTTTAAAACCTCCTCAACTAAAACCCTCTCCAGGCGACATCCGGGCATCGAAATGCCAAAACCCATAACAATAAAAACAAAATGTTTTAAACCGCACTTTAATTGAACAGTGCAATAAACAGGGGGTTTCTTTTTAACCCACGGGGTTAAATAGCCGGAATCTATATTTCAGATTTGCAAAGAAATCCAAGGCTTGTTCATCCTGTGGGCTATTTATTTGCTGTCTTTTTGAAAGCTGTTTTTGCTTAAAAACAGATCTGCCCATGGGTGAAAATCACCGTTTTTGCATTCACTACATCCTTGACTGGCATCTGTTCTCTTTCCAAATCAAATCAGACTTAATGTTTAAAAACCGGCTGAATCTAGGAAGGCAGCAACTTTTATTCTGTTTTGGGGAATAGAATAGAGTATAGAATAGAATATAGAATATAGAATATAGAATAGAATAGAATAGAATAGAATAGAATAGAACAGAACAGAATTCTTTATTGGCCAAGTGTGATTGGACACGCAAGGAATTTGTCTTGGTGCAAATGCTCTCAGCGTACATAAAAGAAAAGATACCTTCGTCAAGAGTCAAGAATCATCAGGCACAACACTTAATCATAGTCATAGGGTACAATAAGCAATCAAATCATACTAGGAGACAGTCAATATAAATCATAAGGACACAAGCGACAAAGTTACACTCATACAGTCACAAGTGGGAGGGGATGGGTGATAGGAACGATGGGAAGATTAATAATGATAGTAGTGCAGACTTTGTAAATAGTTAGACAATGTTGAGGGAATTATTTGTTTAGCAGAGTGATGGCGTTGGGAAAAAAAACTGTCCTTGTGTCTATTTGTTCTGGTGTGCAGTGCCCTATAGCATCGTTTTGAGGGTGGGAGTTGAAACAGTTTATGTCCAGGATGTGAGGGGTCTGTAGGTATTTTCACAGCCCCCTTTTTGACTCGTGCAGGATACAGGTCCTCCATGGAAGGCAGGTTGGTAGTAATTGTTTTTTTCTGCAGTCCTAATTATCCCTTGAAGTCCGTGTCTGTCCTGTTGGGTTGCAGAACCAAACCAGACAGTTACAGAGGTGCAGATGACAGACTCCATCATTCCTCTGTAGAACTGGATCAGCAGCTCCTTTTGGGCAGTTTGAGCTTTCTGAATTGGTGCAGGAAGAACCTTTTTTGTTGGGCTTTTTTGATGACGTTTTTGATGTTAGGTGTCCATTTTAAGTCTTGAGATATGATAAAACTTACACATGTGAAGGTTTCTACTGTTAATACTCTGTTGTCTAGTATTGTAAGAGGTGGTAGTATGGGAGGGTTTCTTCTAAAGTCTATTTCTACGGTTTTGAGTGTGTTCAGTTCCAGATTGTTCCAGTTACACCACGAGGCAAGTTGTACAACCTCCCGTCTGTCTGCGGATTTGCCATTGTCTCGAATGAGACCAATCACTGTTGTGTCAATAGCAAACTTCAGTATTTTCACAGATGGATTGTTTGAGATGCAGTCATTGGTATATAGGGAGAAGAGAAGTGGAGAAAGCACACAGCCTTGGGGGGGGGGGGGCCCTGTGCTAACTGTACAGGTATCAGATGTGATTCTGCCTACCTTCTGATATAACAGAGTGTTTGGAACCGTTGTTAAGAGAATCATTGCATTGGTTAAGTTAATAACATGGTTGTTACGTGGCTTTCCCCATTGACTTGGCTCGTCGAAATGTTATCACGTGACCCCGGGACCCTGCAACCGCCATAAATACGAGACAGTGGCCAAGCATCTGAATTTGGATCTGGTGACCACGGGGGATGCTGCGTGAAAAACGGTCCTGAGTCCCTTTTTGTAGCTTTGAACGGCCATTAAAGGAATTGTCAACATTCAAGGACTACCTGTGTAATGTTTTTTTTTTTCTTCTTCTTCGTTTCTTCCTTTGCCAGATTTGGGCCGAGGAAGTGTTCAAGCTGGCCACCAACATCCTCGCCCAAAACGCCTCTCGAAATACTTTTCTGCAAAAAGTGTAAGTGGTTTTTCCGGCCATAATTCAGATAAAGATAAGGAGGAGATTCCTAATTCGCCCCAAATAACCGGCTGACCCGACTTGCATTTGCAAGCTGCCTCCCTGACCCACGCCGGCCTTTGAAACGTGAAGAATCAGATCAGATTTCGATCTGGGTGGGTGG